CCTAAAGCTTCTAAACTTCTAGAACTAATTCTGTTCCCTGGGCACAAACAGTAAGAAATGATGCGGTGCAAACATCTCATGAATCCAGACAGGCCTTCCAGTCTGATTGGCTGCATGTAACCAACCAATAGAAAAATACCCCGTGATGTCAGCAGAGTAATGTGAGCTGGTATCTGGGGAAGAAAAGCTGAAATTTCACACAAATGCCAAACTCTGGATTCCAAACCTGAAACAATGTTTTTTTAAAAAATCCATGAAACTTTCAGCAGTAAATTCTTTACTGTGTAAACGGACTCCAAATAGACCTGAATGCTTACGTGTACTCAGAGATTTCATGCCAGGCTGCCATGATGACGGCATCAGGAAGAGATCAACAAGAGCTCAGATATCTGGCTCAGGCTCACAGACTGATAAACATGATATTCTCATGACAGGTGTACAACGTGTTTGGCTACAGCGCGTGTAGTCACGTGGAAAAGCTTCCTATAAATTTGGGGAGGCTTCTTCCATACTGGAACAGTAGGCACACAGGAGATGAGAAAACGTATAGGATTAACTACCAAAGAGGACTGTATACATTTTTTCCTGTTCATTGGATTATAATTTACTTGGAAAACTATTAAGGTAAAAAAACAACAACAACCTTGCATATCAACATAGCTGTGATTTTTTTTTTTAACTCTGTAAATTTTTATTGTCAGTTAATTGAAAATGTCAGTTATATTTGCTTCAAGCTGTGGGTCGCTTTCAGCTAAAACTGAGTGAATGATGATTTGCTGAGTTGTGCTATATGGTTGTTTTTGCAGCGAGTGGTGGTATGCTCACTGGCTCGTTTCGAGGAGATTTTATGGCCCGAGGCATTTCCACAACAGAAGCACTTCGAAAGACTAGCTTGTTTCTTGAGAAAACCTGAAACTTGTCATAATCCTTACTCACAGGTTTGTATGACTTTCACCATGAACAGCATGAAAATATTTCCAGCACATCCAGTGCACTAAATACACCCAGGTTTGTCACAGTTAGTCATTTTAAACAGATCAAACAAAAGTCGTGTAATATAAAAAAATATCAGCAGTTATGCATGTAGTCTATTTTTACTTTACACGGTTATATCCCATATTTGGTTGTCCAGGCAGCGATGTTCTTTGGTGCTTTGTGTTACACAACCAAAGGTCTTTGGATCGTAAGAGCATATCTTTCCATTCATGTCCTCAGCTGAGGCGCAGCAATGGTTGGCATGAAACCCAAAGATGTGATGCCCTCTGCGGCAGTTAAGTTCTTCGGAGCAGGCACGGCAGCCTGCATTGCCGACCTTGTCACCTTTCCACTGGATACCGCCAAAGTCAGACTGCAGGTTAGACAAACAGTGTTAACCAGATGCCTTTAACCTTATGATAGATGTCATATTAAATCCTCTTTTATTTGCATCATGTCGTGCAGCTTCAGGGAGAGTCTCAGAGAGCCAAAGGTGTTGGTGCACTGAAGTATCGGGGCGTGTTTGGCACCATCACCACCATGGTGCGCACAGAGGGGGCCAGGAGTCTGTACAATGGACTGGTGGCAGGCCTGCAGAGACAGATGAGCTTCGCTTCTGTCCGTATCGGCCTTTACGACTCCATGAAGCAATTCTACACCCGAGGCACTGAGAGTGAGTATCAGTGAGCGAGCAACAAGTCTGCTTCTATTGCACTGCTTCTTCGTGACCAACATACGTATGGCACACAGGTGCAGGGATCGTTACTCGGCTCATGGCGGGCTGCACCACCGGGGCAATGGCTGTGGCTTTTGCACAGCCAACAGATGTGGTAAAGGTGCGTTTTCAAGCCCAGGTCCGACTGGCTGACGGCGAGAGGAGATACAACGGCACCATAGATGCCTACAAGACGATTGCCCGAGATGAGGGTGTACGTGGCCTGTGGAGAGGTACCTGCTTTGCATTCAAGTCATTCATCTTTATATGAAAATGCCCTCGGCTGTTCTGACAGTTACGATCCTCTTTTGTGTTCCAGGATGCATGCCAAACATCACTCGTAACGCCATCGTAAACTGCGCAGAGCTGGTGACCTACGACATGATCAAAGAACTCATCCTGAATTACAACCTAATGACAGGTGAGGCCATGAATGAAAGATACAGACAAACATCCCTCAAACGTCTGTCAAATGAACGTGAAAGTTGTGAGTAAACTTCTGTCCTCCCACAGACAACCTGCCGTGCCACTTCACGGCCGCCTTCGGCGCAGGCTTCTGCACCACAGTTGTGGCTTCTCCTGTGGATGTAGTTAAAACACGCTTCATGAACTCAGGACACGGCCAGTACAGCAGCGCTCTTAACTGTGCCTTCACAATGCTAAGAAACGAAGGATCCACGGCTTTCTATAAAGGGTAAACACACTCTAACATGACCACGAGGCAAGCAGAGATGTTACAAAAGTCCTTTTGAATAATTCTTCACTTATCTTTCTTTCCTCTTCTTTAGGTTCATGCCTTCTTTCCTGCGACTCGGCTCCTGGAACATTGTGATGTTTGTCACCTATGAGCAAATTAAAAAAGGCATGAGCAGGGCACAGCAGTACTGGGAGTCTCCGTTCTGACCGCAACTAGTCAGACTTGTTTTTTTCAACTCAGGACCGCAAAACACAACAGCCTAACGCACACCACAGTGCGGGGGTGACTACTGACGACTCTTGGTTGGAGACCTGAAAATACAGGAGCATGAAAACACAAGAGTTGACATTAGAAAGAGTTTGAGCAGGAAGACTTCAGGGGACATTGTTGCAATATTTAAAATAATTTAAAGGTTAGACCTTACAGAGGCTTCATGCATTTTAATGGTCAGAAATTCCATTACAAGAAGCTCCTTCTGGTGTAAACTTCCATGTTTAAATGAAATAATCACGTGAATAATGTTAGGCTGTAAAGTTAGTTTTTACTTCCTTTAGGCTTTCCATGAAAGCAGAAGACAGTTTATGTCCAACATTACATACCTTAAAATGACCACAATATGTCTTTCTGGATTGTTTACACTGTCTACCTTTTGTAGTTGTAGTTTAATGTATTTGCCACTAGATGTGAAAAGTATGTATGATTTGTTGCTGGTCAATGAGTCATGTATATTTTGTGAAATAAAGTACTTTAATTAGTGAAAAATTGCAATTTCGCCCATCCTTTTGTCTGCTATTGAATGCCAGTGTTGCTTTGTAACTTTATTCTGAATGTCACTTCACATCCCGACTCCCACTCCTAACCTGTTAGATATACAACACTCCTCACAGGGAGAAATTGGGAATGCGGATTTCCTAAAATCTTCTGGAAAAGCCTCAGAATTTTAAGGAAGCAAATGCTGCTGATCTCTTAAAAATATACCTCCTTTTTAAAATCTAGCATTTATTAGTGCTTCCACTTAATAATAATACTCCTGAAATGTGCCTCCGGAGTTCAGCCACATTTACCTACACATGGTAATACAGACCATATGCATGTCTTCTTCATCAGTATCATGTTGGCCTTCTGCTTCTGTTACGTCCCAGATTTCATATGTTACTATATAATTTTTTTCACTCATGGATTTTTTTTGCATGTATGTATTTCTGATGGGTTGCTTATTTGTTTAACATGGAAGTGACCTTGTTTCTTAATATATTTTTATGCCTGTGAGGCCCTTTGAACATGATATGTGCTACTGGGCTATACAAATAAAAATGAATTGTTACAACAAACAAATCATGAAACAGGCCGTCATAAAACACCTCCCAGCATTTCTTTTGGCACAGAACCACCAGTTTAAACCTAAAATATGATTTTTTTCAATTACGAATAATATTTCCAACTCCATAATTCTTTGAGTGCTGTATCATTTCCATAGGTCTCTGAAAAAGATCTTGCCAGGTATGATATCTGTGCAGTTTCTTTGCACAGGCCATCACTCTGACGAACACTTGGATCACTGACATATTATCTCACACACATATAGTACAGATATGGGGGTATGGATAAGTTACTACATACATACAATTGATGGACAACTGGTTGATATATAAAATATATATACTGGGAATTGACAGTATAAATATACTGTTTATACAGTAATCAGTTATCCATCACTTCTTTTTTCCATAATTTATCCCAGGATAATCATCAGGAAAAATAAACTGCACTTATTATTGAGATCATACAAGCTAACAATAGCAGAAATGAGCATTTAAACCTTTTAGGATAAATGTAAAAAAAAAAATCACTTCACATTTGATATTTTTATGACAGTTCATGATGATTCTCTGTGATCCAAACACCTGGTTCAGCTGCTGCAGTCCCATAACTGGGTCAGTCAGATATGGAAAGATAGCGCCACCATACCACTACACATGCAGGACAACATGCACCCATGCACTGACTCATAACATGGAAATTTACAGTCCTTGTATTTGCCAACATGGCACTAAAATTATAACGCTGCACTTTTTTGGAGTCCCCTACAGTGGCATAGTTGGATTGCAGTTCTGCCATTTAAACAAACAATTCTGTCTGACGACTAACTGCATGTTTCAACCTTCCAGCTCACTACTAAATGCAGGAACAACAAGTTACGAAACACGTTTTAACGAAAAGCTGCAGTGAGACAATTACCGGTTTGAACATATGGCTACAATTTGGGGTGCAGTGTACACACGCGCGGCTTCTTGTACTTTCATCATGACTCAGCATTTACTTTACAAGTCTTTGCTGCACAGACCACCTAAAGAAATTGCTGGCTTGATTAAAATGTGTTTAAACAAATTTAAAAATCCATCTTCAAAGATAAAACATTGATTTTATGGAATAAGATCTAATTAATGTTTGTGCATTAATGTGGGTTTGGGGACATGATGCATTTGATTGTGAAGTCAAGAAGACAAAAGGAAGGCGTGCTCTAAACTACACGCATTCCCACACATGACAAATGCAGACTCTGTGCCGTGCCGACGCAGAGGTTTACAGTCGGCCCACATATTTGGGGTGGGACCCCACCATGTAACACATGCCATGCTATGATGTAACAGCATCATGGGCAGTATTTAAAGAGGCCGACCTCCTCCCCGCTCCTGCATCTGTTCCACTTATTGTCTGAGATTCGACGAGAGGTTTGGTTATTGTCCCTTGGTAAGGCTTTTCAACTCTACAAATCATATCACGGTACAGGCAAAATTTACCTTTTTACTTTTACTGTTTACTTTCCTGTTAATATTATTAATCAATAAAGCTTTGTTGGATTGCTATGTTGAGATTAAAATGACTCTTTTATGCAGGATTTGGAGTATGATTATACGCCTCATTGCTGTTAAAAAATCTATGGAAAAACAAGAAAAGTTGTTTATAGCTGGGACAAAGTTCAGCCAGAGGGACGCCTTTAGAGAATCCTGATCTCTAAAAGATCTGTCCCAAACTGCTCCTATAAAGGTAAGACTTAATGACTTAAAATTTGATTTTATTAAATTTGCAGTGCTTCTTTTTTAAACCCATGCAAGTACACAGAACATAATGAACAGCAGTCTCATTAAAGCCTGTACTTGGAGGGGGGGGGCTGCTTTTGCTGAATAGAGGTGTTAAATGAGCTCATGGCACACACCAGCTGGAGGCATTACTAGCATAGTGAGTAAAAGAAGCCAGGATCAAGTGTGTATGGCAGATCCATAAAACAAGCAACACTTGTCTTCCTGATGGGATGTAACTCTCATGTGTCAAATTTAGAGATGCAGTTTCAAATAAAAAACATTTGTCTCTGAATGCAGTGTGTTCGTGAAATTTTTTTCTGTCAGCTTTTGCAGGAACATCTTGTTGTGTTCACGTTCACAAATACAACGCTTGTGTTTTTTAAAAAAAAACACTGTGGAAAATGGTTGGATTCAGGCCTGCAGATGTGCCACCTTCGGCAGCTGTAAAGTTTGTGGGAGCAGGAACTGCAGCCTGCATCGCCGACCTGCTCACCTTTCCCTTAGACACAGCCAAAGTGCGACTGCAGGTATTAAAGTATTCTTGTGTAACAAACACAAAGCCAATTCTTGTAACCTTAGTAGCCTGAACTTTCATTGCACAGATCCAAGGAGAGGCCAGAGGCTCCGCTGCTACAGGGAGCGGCTCTACGGTGAAGTATCGAGGGGTGTTCGGCACCATCGCCACCATGGTGCGTACTGAGGGTCCTCTGAGTCTTTACAGTGGGCTGGTGGCAGGACTCCAGAGGCAGATGAGCTTTGCGTCTGTCCGAATTGGTCTCTACGACTCTGTTAAACAGTTCTACACTAAAGGCTCTGACCGTGAGCATCTGTGATTGGATTCTGACAGTTGTTTATTTGGTTGAGAGGAAATTTTGACCAGTCTCAACTGACATCTCTCTCTTCCCTGGTTTAGATGTGGGCATTGGGAGTCGGCTGCTGGCTGGATCTACCACAGGTGCCTTGGCGGTTGCCATTGCTCAGCCCACAGACGTGGTGAAAGTTCGCTTCCAGGCACAGGCCAGATCTCTTGGCCGTGCCAGGCGCTACTGTAGCACAGTGGATGCTTACAAGACCATTGCCAAGGAGGAAGGCATTTGTGGTCTGTGGAAAGGTAGCTCAAGCTTCCAAAATGTGTGTTTTTAAAAGGCTGCTGCTTCATTTCTTATGATGCATCTTTGTTTTCAATGTCACACAGGCACAGCTCCAAACACTGCACGTAACGCTATTGTTAACTGCACAGAACTGGTGACCTATGACTTCATCAAGGATATGCTCCTTAGGTCCACGCCGCTGACAGGTAAAACACAGTGGCTTCACAGCAACATCACACATGTGTATGATCTAGCACTAAGCCCTGGGTTCTGTGAACTCCACAGATAATCTGCCCTGCCATTTTGCATCAGCCTTTGGTGCGGGGTTGTGCACAACAGTGATCGCCTCCCCTGTTGATGTGGTCAAGACAAGATACATGAACTCTGCTCTTGGCCAGTACAGCAGCGTTCTCAACTGTGCTGCTGCCATGATGACCAATGAAGGCCCGCGTGCTTTTTACAAAGGGTAACCCAGTGATTCCACCTTCATTTGACAACTCTTAATGTGAATGAAACGAAACCAAAAATGTTTTTGCCTCCATTTCCATTTTCTTAAGGTTTATCCCGTCTTTCTTACGCCTGGGGTCCTGGAACGTGGTCATGTTTGTGACATACGAGCAGCTGAAACGAGCAATGATGGCAGCGAATCACAGCTGCAAAGCTTATCTGTAATCTCTACTGTCTCTCGATGGGCTCGTGTTCGACCACACTCACACTGTCTTTCATTTTTGTTATCTTCCAGCGTCTTTACAGAAATATTCTGACAGAGTGCAAAGTGCAAATAAAAACAGAAAGACACGATTTGCAAATGTATCAGTATTGCTCTCTCCTGACAGACATGTAGCCACATGAACAGTCCAATCAATCATTCTGATTACACATGTATTTGGAATGTGATTAATCTTTAAAAGACAGAGCTTGCTTGATCAGATACTTCCTCTCAGCAGAAAGCGTCTTGGGGAACTCAAGGTCAAAAGTAATTATGAGGTTTCCTCTCTGGGAAGGATTCTTGGACAGCGGCATTCCCTCTCCGGACAAGACTTCTTGGTATCTAGGGCTGATATGACATGACAAACAAATCAGAGAGCGGAAACTTAATGCAGATAATGCACAAAATAAAAACACAATGATCATTAAGTGTTACAGCAGATGGTTATGCTGGACATTTCTTCCTGTTAAAAGGGAGTTTTTCATTCCCACTGTCGCCAAGTGTTTGCTCACAGGTGATCATATAATTGTTGGAGTTGTCGACTGTTGTTGCACTCTGGCACTACATAAATGTAAAAACAACCAGACCGGGAAAAAACTGTTTTTCAAGACAGTGACTGAAAGCACTTACTGGACAATGTCATTGATAAGAACAGAGAGTAGCCTGCCATCTAGTGTCTGCACGTCCACAGAGAAGCCAGTTAAAGCCTGCGAACAAGGGAATCAGCTTACAGCTTCAAAGAAACCTTTTTGCATGGCCAATAATCAATCCATGACATGACTCACCATCTCCAGAGTAATCTTTGCTTTGTAGATGAGGTCATTGTTATGTCTCACAAACAGAGGATGAGTCTTCTGCCGCACAATAAACACAATATCTGCGGGAATGCTGTTTGGTCCCTGAAGGTAAAACAGCAAAACAAAATAAAAAGATTACCATGCAGCAGTCTTTACAGACAGTTCTTTATACATTCCCTCTCTGGGAAAAGGAAAGAATATACACAAACAAGGCAGTGGTACAGTCAGTACACATCATCATAATAAAAAAACAGAGTAATAAGAAGAATAGCTTTGAGCGCATAATTTCTTTTGACTAAAATTGCCCAGAGTACAATAACCAAAATGCCTTTTGCTTATTGTAATCGGGTGTTAAAACCAAACACGCTTACTTTTGGTAGTAAGCGTGTTCCATTTCAGTGAACCTATAAAAGATCTGCAGGAACAACGTACTTGTGTGCAGTCTATGCAAAGTGCCAATTTTAGGAGAACCTTCAAAAGTAGTTAGTCATCAGTTATACTTGCAATAGCAGAAAAAGGAGTAAATTATAATTATAATTTGTTAAAAATTCCCCTCTCCTTTGTCACATTCAGCCTTTTTAATGCATACCTCTACTATCTTTTCACTAATTGCTGCACTGCAGTAATGTATATACCACAATAACAATGGCAACCTGCTAAATTTTCCTTTAAAGCTAACTGCACACTGAAGCCTAGGATTGATTACAGCAAAAAAATACATTTCTGGGTTATAGCAGCCATATACAGCATACAAGGGTGGTTACAAAACAGCTCAATATGTATACACAGAAAATGAAAAAAAGAAATAAAAATCCTGAAATAAAACAAAACAAAACACAATGCGAGACAATATAGCTCTGTGCTGGTTCTATGAAGCAAAATAGCACAATAAATGAATAAAATCAACGTAAAACAAAATAAAAATGATTTAATAAATGTAAAAAAAACTCAATGTAACAGAGGGTGAGGTGTTGTGACAATGAATTAAACTGTTAATACAGGATTTGATCAGCTCTGTTAGGCCCACACAGTATTAGCTCGGAAACGGCATCAGAGCCACGAGCCCAACTCATTCTGTAGGAAATATTTATGTATAAAAGGATAGAAATAATACACTATACCAACTCATGAGCTCACTTTCAAACCCCCCATTTTAAAATGATGTGTAGGCTGGTTAATTACCTGATCCCCCTCTTTGGGGAAAGTGATTCTTGTGCCTTCGTTCCATCCAGGCTTAACATCTATACTCAGAATCTTGTCTTTGATACTGGATGTGCATCCATCGTCATTCATGACCTGTAAAATGAATAAAGCATCGCACAATATATGAGGCAAAATCAGTGCTGTAGTATGTCTTTGTGATGGCGTTTTTTTTTTTTTTAATGCTGTTGTTTAGTTAGCTCTAAACCCCGTGAGGAGCTTGCAGTCTTATAGATGAGTGAATCCAACAAAAGCCACGGGAGGGAGAAAATATAAACATGTCTTACTCTGCGAGATATCTTGATCTTTTTTGTGCATCCATGGAAGAGATCGTCCAGGCACAAATGAAGGTCTCTCTCTATTGGGGAATCTTGCGTTTTCGCCACTTGTGGCTGCAGGCCACCGAACTGAAGCGGCACATCATTCGTGTAGAAGTCTAGCAAAAAAAAAAAAGGGATTAAAGGATTAAAATCGAAAAGGCAAATTCACTGTCAGGCTTTGATTAAGTTTTTTTTCTCACCTGCAAATGGGTTGTCACCCCCGAAAAACTGTTTGAATGTCTGGTCAGGATTCCCATGGTAGACGTATTTTGATGACCAAGTTCCATTGGTGGCAAACTCAAGTGGAATACCACCTCTCAGGCCCTCCTCTCCAAACTTGTCGTAAGTTGCCTTTTTTTGAGCTTTCACACAGAAAATTGGCTTTGATTCACACACATATGGTCTCCATACAATAAATACAGCCTTTCCTCAGACCAAAATACACTTCACTGTATATAAGCCTGTATTACTATTTTAATATTAACTGGTATTTTTTAAAAAAAAGCTTTCTATTTCTGATCCTTATAACAGTTTTCTGCTAAATGTTTTTTTTAAAACAAAAAGCTTTAAATACAAATCTGCAGTTCTTTCCACTTCTCTTTTTACGAAAATATTAGTATTGCTTATAATATAACCAATTTTAAACTGAGTTGTAGCTGTGGGTTTATCTATAGCATTGTTTAAAACCGTGAGTGGGAGGGTAGCAATACATTGCGATACTTTGCGTGGTGATATTGTATCGATAGAGAGTCACCAAATATCGATATTTTATAAAGAAATATAAATACTCAGGGAGTACTATGAACAGTAGGACTCATCTTACAGTGAGATGACTTTATGTATCTCATTGTCTTTTATCCTATCTTCCTTCTCTCACCCCAACTGGTCGCGGCAGATGGCCCCGCCCCTCCCTGAGCCTGGTTCTGCCGGAGGTTTCTTCCTGTTAAAAGGGAGTTTTTCCTTCCCACTGTCGCCAAAGTGCTTGCTCGTAGCACAATCATGTGATTATTGGGTTTTTCTCTGTATGTATTATTGTAGGTCTACCTTACAATATAAAGCACCTTGAGGCGACTGTTGTTGTGATTTGGCACCCTATAAATTGAATTGAATTGAATGTAAAATCAGCTCCACTGACAAACCACCCAGGACACACTTAGCTTGACAAAGCTACATGCTAATTAAGAGCGAGCTTATGGCTCATAAGTAAAAACAGGACGGCAACCTCCTTGCAGCTACAAAATATTTTTTTAAGAATCGGTGACTGTCTGGTTATAGAATTTAATTTTTTCACATTCTGCAACTGACTAAACAGTTGCCCAGAACGTGAACACAAATGGTCAATTTTGATTGGAAGGCAGTTGCAGAGGTCACCTGCGAGGAGGCAACTTTTCTGCAAACAGTCTCAGTCTGACTTAGACTGACTGCAATCACTCTCTGAGAGAATGTCAAATACCTGACTCAACCGGCTCCCAGATGGCTATATTCTGGTTTTATTTACACAGAACAGGAATGTCGCTGGTTGCAACCGAATGCAAAATCACTTATCGCAGGAATGTTGTACACCTTCCTTTGATAATTCAATTGATTTGCGCTGCTTAAAAAAGAATAATAATAGATCATCACAGTATAACAGTATATCAGTTAAACTTCAGAGATATCAGTCTGTTCAGTTGGGAAACATGAACCCGTGTGAATCCATTTCGCTTACTTTGGTCCAAATGAAAGTAACACTGGAGAGGCATCAACGAGACAGCCCCACCCAAAAACTAGCAAAAGAGTTTGCCAAGAAACACACACATCTGTTGCCTTCTTGAGGTAATTTTCGAGAGCACTGGAAATGTTCCTCCTGCCCCTTTTTATACAAAGGAACAGACATGGGTACTGCTGCTGTGGTGATGCCCCTAACTGCCCAGCTCTTAGCAGCTCCACACGCTTGACACTGCTGACAGATACACCTTCTTACATCGGCTCTTCCTGATTTGCAGTCCTGGAGAAGCTGTGCACTGACTATCTTTGCAACGTGAATGGACTGCAGGTATCATGTCATTCCACCAGAAGTGAAAAGTAAAGTCACAAAAAGCAACGCTAGAATGAACTGAATCACGAGGGATAAGGAACGACCACTTCCATTTGCACCAAAGCAGCTGAAATTGATTCAGCACGATTAACTGACTTTGCCTTAGACTGTGATCATCGAGTGTCCCCTTATTGTTTTTATCCGTGTGGTTTCCAAAATAAAACACACTTCAGTCTCGATATTCTTCCACTTACGGTCGCATAAAACATCATAGGCTTCACCCAACTGGGTAAATTTCTGGGAGCTTCCAGGCTCTCTGTTTCTTTTCGGGTGAAACTTCAGTGCAAGGCGCCGATATCTAAGAAAGAGAAAGAAATAACTGAGGAATAACAGAACAAGCCTCATTAATAAACATGTGAGTTTCATATGTATTAAATGACTTACGCCTTTTTGATGTCTGCATCTGTTGCGTTTCTATTTATTTCCAAAGTCTCGTAGTAATCATTACTCATTGTGAAACTAAGTATTTAAAACCACATTTAAACATCAAAGAAATATCCAGCTAGCACAGAGTGCGGGTGCGTGAATTGGTTTCCACGGAAACGGCTGCTGGGAGACTCTCGCGAGAATTCAAACACTCGCGGACTTTGATTTAAAATAAACTATTGAATGAAAAAACAAGAAACAGACTGCAGTCCAGAGAAGACTGCTCGTCTTCAAATAAATAAGAAGAAATTTAGAAGTAATAAACGTTGACGGGAGTTGCTACTTCGCAGTGAAGTAATTATTACTGACCTCTTTCGAAAGCTTTTATAATGTGGCATTATTTAATGTCTCCGCGTAGTTAGTTATTGTCTGCTTTGTAATATAGCCTAGAATCATATGCAGATGACCACGATATTAATGAATAGCTGTGCCACAATCTGATGCTAGATCCCAACTAGGTCAGGTAAATAGGGTCACTTGACATTCTGCATAGTGGATTGCTGGCATGTCTCGTGTTTGGGGGGCCACCATTGCATTATTTCTTCTGTGAACAAACAGTAGGTAATGAGTCAGGCCAGTTACTGTAACTTCAGCATACCGTGATCTTGTCTATTTGTAAATTTTTGAAGCACCTTGGTTATTTTGTACCTCGACAGTCATTTTGAGATTTTATGTAAATGAACTGTAATATTATTGGACATCAAACCTGTATGTATAAAATCAAAAAGTTAAATGTGATTTGAACACTGAATGTCTCTGACTATAATCACTTTCTCAGTACACAGCTAAACATCTACATTTCTGTAACTTTCATTATCCTGTAGTAATTGCTGCCAGAAATTATACAGAAACAGATCAACATCTCAGCACTTAAAAAATAAAAATATTGAACTGATTTATCCAAAACACATGTCAGAAACACAGATCAATACCAGCAGTGTTGACAAGTTTACTTTTATTCTTTCATTTGAATCCATTCCAGAAACGTTAAGGACTACAAAGCTATACAAACTGAACTCTCGCCTGTAGTTTTACACAAAAATTGCACAATATTTTCAGTATGATCAAAGTGCCACTTCGAGGCAGCACGTGAAACAGCAGTTGCTCTCTGCTGAGTGTCAAAGGTGGTCCAGTTTGGATGCATATTTTATTAGCGACTCATACCCAAAGTGAAGATATTAACAGCCATACAAAAGAAACAGGAATCTGATAGAAATAAATATTACAAGTCATTGTGGATTAAATACATATGTAGAATCATCACTAACAAGAGATCAATGCCAAAAAATAAAAACAAGGAAGTGTTGATAAAACGGCATACCAAACCTAATTAGATAAATCCAAAGCCAAGGAAGCCCTCTACAATTCAACTCCAAAAGGCATATATCTTCACATCTAATGTCTATTGTCGGATTTATGAGAAAATCTACAAACACTATCAAAGAAAGTTTTAATCTATGTCACCTAAAGTCTTTAGGGGAAAAAAATCTATCCAAATAAAAAGGTAATAGAAAATGGAAGCCAAGGTAAAAATAATCCATCTCAATAGACGTGTGGGCAGAGGAGGAAGGACGGTAATGTGTTTGATGCAGTCATGTTATGCATTTGTGCTGGTTTCCATGGTGTGTAGGTGTGAGACTGCGTGACTGTGCAGGTCGTGTTGGGAGAACTGTGACTCAAGTTTAAAATAAGCTCCTAGCTCACACTTCATGGGTGTAGTATACATGTCTACACCCAGCACTCCAAATAATGATTTACTTTGAAACAATCCTACAACCTTTTCCTCATTTTATCCCAAAATGTTAAAAACAAAATAGTTTGAAGAAAACACCTAAATTAACTTGGGCCAATCAAATACAAAAGCGCTTATTGTGTTAACTGACAAATGCACACAACACATTCACATTGTGCTTATTAAGCTTAAAGCAATATTTACTTCTTTTTTCTTTTTTTAAAGATTCTCACTCTTAGACAAATACATTGATTTGATGACTTTGACACACATCTTCTTTCAGTTTGGTTCAAAATCATCTTTACCCACAAACTATTCTCATTTTTCTTGTACTACCATCTCTGCTGAAATGACAGAAGGCTTAGTTCAAGCATAAATATGCAATGTTTCAATATGTTTCAATGCATGTGTGTTACAGTGCAAATATTCAATTTAAGTACAACTGAAGTGACTTTCAGAGCAGCCCGATGGGCTACCAGACTTCCATGATGGCGAGGATAACGGATGTAGTGTTCTCTTTCAGGCTGGGGGACAGTGAAGGGTGTAGTGAAGGATATGGGCGCAGAAAAACTGAATGTATTAGATAGAAACATTAGCAGGAACAGCCTCCTTCACTGGTAGGTTGCTCTGGTGGTTTCTCCAGCTTAATGTCAATCACTGAAAGGTTTAGGAGTTAAGAAACAACATTGAAAAGGAACTCTGAAATGCAATGGCTGCCAGAAATGGACAAAACTAGACAAAGTCTTTCCAAGACAGAAATATTGTTGCATAAAGTGCATAATAACACATTAATGAAAAGCAGGTCTTATATGGGCTACCTTGGTGCTAGGTCAAGATGCATTGGCATTGATTAAACAAATAAATTAATTAATAGCTCTAGATTTCTGCTCAAGGAAAGACAGTCACACTTTTTTGGCACAATGGTCCAAAATGTCCCATTGGTGTTCAATTAGCCTGAGATGACCGTGATTGTAAATGCCAGCACGTTTTACATTATTTTCATGATCATTAAAGTAGTCAGTGACCACATGTGCTGTACAGGTAGAGGCCATTTTCACACTCCAGCAGTGGTATTGCCCAATTCACATGTATTGGTTTATGACACATTCACAATAAATTACAAAGGCACTCCCCTATAATGGAGCACTTGTTGATGGTGGGAAGGAAGAAATAGCTTAACAGAAAGATCTCTGGCAGAACCAGGCACCAAAAGGGTTGAAGTTTTAAAATAAAGTTCTTAGTTCCAAAAATGAACTTAGTTTTAATTTAAAACTAATACTGTTAACATATACTGCATTCTCTCTCACTGTGACACAGAATGCAAAGCTGGTCTTCCAGCAGAAAAGCTTCTAGTTGTTGGGCTGCTGGGGAGTTAAGAGCGCTATCCACCCACTGTACTGTGTATATGGCGTGCCAAAGTTGGAAAGTCTTTCAGCTCTACATGAACTTCTGTGGGTGTTAGCTGAAGTTTTTACCCTTTAATTGCAGGAATAAATTATCACCATTCAGATATTTTACAAGATCAGATGCTTCAACTCAATGTGACGACTCATACTGGTCTCCATTTAACTGAGGTCAGTATTTCACCACTTATTGCTAGCTGAAAAAAGTGCTCTTTTTAGCATGTTGGTGCACAGGTATGTCCTTTATAAGATGATATTGTGCTAACAACAAGGACACAGACCAGACAGAATATTAAAGTAATCTTAAATATTCTTATGGACACATGATGGCTTATGCTATAGTTACATGGCAAACTTATCAAAGCTGAAGTCAGTAAACATCATAACAACATCTTTATAACTCAGTTTGAGTTCAGACTTAGGCACGTTTCTAGGAGCATGACTGACTAATGTGCATTCACTGTCTGCTCTGATCTGTATCAGGACAAACTTCAAAACCTTTCAAGTCTGTTTCATACCCTCCAAAAATAGACCATCAGTGCAGAGTGTCTTTGATATTATACTCATTAAAACAGGCATCCAGCTGAATCTCAATAGGTGTCCTCACTGGTAAAACAAATCTAGAACGACATGTGGGTTAAGCAACAATAGTGAGATGTCACAATTCTGCACTTGATTCTCCCTGTGGCCGTGCTTATCCATATGACAGACATAAGAGGGCAAAGAGACCTCTGACTCTGTTCTGTCATGTCAGATGCAGACACTGACATGTACACAAAAGGATACTGTCCTCTCTACTCTTGTCCTGTGTGGTGTCCATGCCAGGGAGGGCAGCTGCCACACGACGGAAAAGCTGGAGGGAAAGAGAACCGCATGTATTCTTTCAGACAAGGAATATACTGAGGGCATGATAAAAAATACAAAATGAAATCGGCACAACATGTTGTGTATAATCCTAATATTAACTGATCAAGCATAAGGTCCACTTGAAACTCACACAGAGAAAGACACCCAAGAGAGATTTATCAAATTTGATCTCAGTTTAGCAGCTTGTGTCTCTGACACTATAAACCAATTTCTGTGCTGCATCAGTGATTTGAAAAGAGGATGGAGCTGAGCTTTAGTGACATCTTCCATTGACAAAGCTTGGAGGATTTTAAGCAATGAATGGATCCATTCATAAAATTCAAGAGAAATGTATGATGATGCTCAGCATCCCCTGCCCCCACCAAAGAGCGTCGTGGAAGCAGACTTATGACATGCAGAGTTCACAGCAGCAGTAACACTATTGCTGTGGTGATCAGTGCTGTGCAGGTTGTTGATTTGCAAACTCTGGTCCCCATCTTAAGACTTTGTGATAAAAGGTTGGCCAATAGAAATCATTACAGGGGGGAGAGAGCTTGAAAAACAACCAGTTCTCTTCACTAGTGACCAGTGGAAACTGATGTTTAAAGCACACCTTTTGCACACATGCGTGTGAAATAGAAGCCAATCAGAAGAGAGCACTACGAGAACACATACACATGTAGGTGCACACGCTCTACCTGTTTGACATTGTAGCCTGTCTTTGCACTTGTTTCAATAAACAGAACATTCATCTCTTTCGCTCTCTGTTCTCCCTCCTCTGTGGTTATCTGTCTGTGATGAGCCACCGCGAACAACACACAAACACCCACCAGGACACGCACATACCCCCACAAACATCAACACAGAGACAGGGGAAAAGAAACACAGACACTGTGATTATGTTGAAGAGCATTAACAAGCCGTGCCCTTCCTGCTGTGGCTGCCACCACTGCCCAGCACCAAAGGTTTCCCAGTAAACTTCCTGGAAAAACAGGAAGAGAAGTGAAACTTCCAACATCTCAACCATAAATGTTATATTCTCTGTGCTTGGCTGAAAAACAGGGTTTTGGAGATCCAAGGCATTGCTAGGCCAAGACGAGTAAAAAGATTGTAAATAAGTTTTTAGAGGAGCTTGCAGGTAACAGGGAAAAGCCATACACGAGACTGACACCCACACACTCTCATCACCTTTAGCAAGAAAGTGATGAATACTTGTTTTATTTAAAGAAATACGCACAAACAAGAGCAATTTAGACTAAGAAGCCCTTTTCAGACATGCACTCAATTCTGTTAATCAGATGGCATCTAAACGCAGAGGTTACAAACGCACATCACTTCTCCACCTTTGAGTTGCTCAGCTCACTAAAAGACGTGATTGTTGTGGACAATCCCCTAAACTATGATAATGTGAGGGGAGGAAAAAATAAAGTTTTGGCATGAGACATCAGCTTTCAGCTTTTTTCCATGGTCTCACTGCCAGAAATACTGCAGAAGCCACAAAGCCACTCCTTTGTTACATATGTTAAACAGACTTTTTATTCCATGCTGGACAAAGTCCAGCATCTAGACTGGTCCATAAAAATCACAACCCACAGTGTGAATTTAGTGGTTCACTTAGTGGTCATTTATAAGCTACTGTTTAGTAAAATTGGGGCAACCGTGGCTCAGGGGGTTGGGAAGTTCGTCTGTAACCGGAAGGTTGCCGGTTCGATCCCCCTGCTCTCTGTCCTGGTCGTTGTGTCCTTGGGCAAGACACTTTACCCTACCACCTGCTGGTGTTGGGCAGAGGGGCCGATGGCGCAATATGGCAGCCTCGCTTCTGTCAGTCTGCCCCAGGGCAGCTGTGGCTACAACTGTAGCTCGCCTCCACCAGTGTATGAATGTGAGAGTGAATGAATAGTGGAATCATAGAGCGCTTTGTGTGCCTAGAAAAGCGCTATATAAATGCAATCCATTATTATTATTATAAAATTGGCCCAAGTGTTTATGGTTGCAATTGCATATATACAGAATGTGGCGTAATAACCCCCCAGAATAATTTGGGACACTATATCCTACTTACTATAGTGTGAAATTTGGCGCACAGCACACAATAAAATCATGATTACCGTAGCGTGTTCTGTCAGAGTGGGGATGTTTGAAAGAAGCTTTGATGAGTATTAATGTAAAAGAAAAGCTCCATGTCCAAATAAGAAAATGCTGTCATTTTACCAGATCAAAAATTTTATGCAATCCATGTCTGAAAAGGGGCAACTTCAGGAACCTAGTCTGACTTATATTTTCAGTGGGAGACCTTTGGAGGTGAAACCCAGGAGGCAGCATCTACAGCAGGGCGTCAGAGCACGGCTCACACACTCTTACCTGCTTTACGTTGTAGCCCGCTTTCGCACTAGTCTCAATAAACATTACATTTAGTTCTTTGGCTTTCCGCTCACCCTCTTCAATAGATACTTGCCTGTGGTAGATAAAACGGTTAAAAGACTCACAGCAAGAGACAATACAAATTCAAAAAAAGGCTTAAAAACAAAAAAACTAACAAAAAAAACCCCAAAACAGGACACTTTCAGGTATAATGCATGAAAGAAAAAAATCAGTGAGGCCACCAGTAACCAGTAACAATCAATAACTTCACTTCTATGATCTTCATGGAGTGCCTACTTTAACAAAGGCAGAAGCAGGAAAACACAGATTACCTTTTATCTGCAAGGTCTGTCTTGTTTCCCACCAACATAATGATGACGTCACTTCCTCTTTCTGTTCTCACGTCATCAATCCATTTTGTGGTTTGCTGGAAAGAGTTGACATCTAGAAGACAGATGGAGATAAAAGGCCTCAGGTGAGAAAACACAGTGGTTAGTGACAGCAAGGCAATAAGCAAAGAGAGTTACAAGCTGTAAAATGTGCAACTTTTTTTTAAATTAAAAAGAAAAATATGCTTCGGTCATACTAGTGTATTTAAATGGAATCAATGCATTCCTCAGCATCAACGATGTGAATAACCTAGGGCACTCCCAGTGGACAGGTGAGCCACATACTTGTAATGTCGTAAACTACGACTGCAGCTGCAGAGTCTCTGATGTAACTTGGGATGAGGCTACGAAATCGCTCTTGCCCCGCTGTGTCCCACAGCTGCAACCTAATCTGTGGGGGAGGAAGGGGAAGGGGATGGAAAGAAAAAAGAAAAAAAAAAAGAAAGAAAAAAAAAACAAGATGAAAATGAAACAAGAAAAACAAATAGACAAATGGGGTAAGTTTATGTGACAAAAAAATTAATAAAAGGAAATAAAGTTGGACTAATGGGAAAAGATAAAGAGAGAGAAAGGTGAGCACGTAGTTCATGCAGGCAGTGAATAAGCGCCAGAGAGAGCTAGCTGTCTGGGCCTTTGGGAGGGAAGAAAGAAGTAATCACCCTTCACTTGTCATCAGCCCTCCTCACTGGATCAAGTAAGGTGTTTAATTTCAAAACGGTGATGAGAAAGTAGATGGAAGGGTAGGAAGGAGAGGAAGAAAACTCGTGTTGAGGGAGGAAATGAACAGAGAAAAGGAGGATTGTCCAGGGGGATACAACACTCCTGATCACAGTAGCAACGTACAAATGCTGTCTCTGTGTGTGTTAGAAAGAGCATAATTCAGTGGCTAAAGAAAAGCAACTGGACAAGAAGAAGAAAAACAAAAACAGAGTTACTGGTTGTGCCAAAAATAAACTTACTGTTCTGTCTTCAAGATACATAGTTTTCGACAGGAAATCAATTCCTATTGTGGCCTGAAAAAAACAACAACAAAGAATTAACCAAATATTCACAGTCATTTCCAATGAGTATTGCTGTTGATATTAGGCATCATCAATGATTATTAAAGTTAAAAGTGAAGGTGTTAAGTCTCACTTGGTAGGTGTTGTCGAAGCTGTCGTACATGAACCTGGTGATCAATGAAGTCTTTCCCACTGCACAAACACAAACAAGAAACTCTTAAAGAGTGCAATGACCACACGATCACTTTGATTTTGGAGAAGACTTAGGTACATCTTTTCCCCTGGAAAAAAGAACTGCATTTATAACTGAATCTATTCTACATTTTCCCCCAATTAGAAGAAAATTTAAAAACTGAAAATGCTTTTTACACTTTCTGAGCACCCAAAGTCTTCAAACAGATTATTTTATCTGATCAACTGTCTAAAACCTACACATATCTAATTTACAATAACATAAAGCTAGCCAGCCACTTTTAACTGGTTCACTAATAATTTCAGCTGTAATCAAAATAATTATTTCGGGGCTAAATAAAAACTACGCAGATCTCTGAAAGCTTGCAGAAATTAAATGTGTTTAAAGTTATTCAACCCGAAGCAGCTGCTGTGGCCCTTTTCCACAGATGATGACCACTAATAACAGAGTAAAGCAAGCCACTTCATGTCACACAACTCCCACTGCCCTCTTGTCCACTAAGCGTGTAGTGCACAGCTGTTCAAAGTAATTCAGGAGTCAGAGGGTTGAGCAAAGCACAGAGAGAAAAAGGGCTGTAAGCAAAGTTTGCCATTTATGTCTTAACTCCCCCCACCCATGTATCCAGGGTGCTGATTTGATCCACAATGGAGGGTTTGTGTCCATATGTAATATAAAACTCTGTAATGTTGTTTAACACACAAAACTACGCTTTACAAACTTTGCAGCTGTAAAATGCTTCAATTTTTTTCTAATCTCGTAAAAAAACATTTATGAACACCTTTAACACATCAGGGACAGTCACACAGCAGCTCTGAGTACTTGCACAGTGCTGCCAGTTCTCAGACTGTTTTTGCTGAGCTCGAGTTACATTATCAGTTACAATGTCCATCAAGGGATGGTAACAGGGCTACAGACAACCCTGCTGTTTACAAGGCTTAAAGGAGCCACAGCTTATCACACACTGTGTGTAAACGCAGTGTGTCTGTCCCATCTTGGTGGGACTTGCAGATCATATTACAGCAAAAACATTTATTACAGTTTTGTCAATAATGTCATCAAATTTTGGCTTCCTTAATTCTTTCCTAGTTTCATTTATCATAGCAGCTTCTCAACTCACATCTTTTCCAAAGAGATCTGTATTATTTTATATGCAGTCTATGTGCGACTGAAAGACAAGTTTTATGTTTTGGGAAAAAGGTGTGCAGGGCCTCTTTCTACATTTGCATTTTTTAATGTTCTTGAGTATTTTTTATAATAAATATTTGTTCAATGTAATGGTTCTGACATTTCTTGTAAGTAATTTCTTCAGTTTAGATGTTTATTATGCATTTAGCTTCCTTTTTTTAATGAGTGATTGGGTTTGCTATTCTTCTCACATCACAGCAGGAGAAGCCATGACTTCTTTGTTTCTTTCTTGCTGGAAAAGAGTGAATAAATAGTGCAAAACCTCATCTTGACAATAGCCCCTTTTTTGTCTTCCCTATTGTCCTTTGGTGGCTATCTGAGTTCACGTTTGATCCAAGTTTCTCTTTACCGGTCTTTACCAACTTCATACTGTTTTAATAAAGCAACATGAAACAGCTAGTTCAAATATGTTGCAAGTAGATTCCAAAGAAAGAGACAACGCTGGACCAATAACCCAAATTCTACTTTAAACCCTAAAATCTGTGGACACCGCGGACGACACAACGAACAGCCACACAGCTTTACCTAAGACATGAAAAACAGCCCACACGAACCCTCTGTGTGGACACTGAAGGAGTGTAAATTAGTAGGGAGATCGCAGGAATGTTGCTTGGCAAGATCGGCCAATTTGGAAGTTGCCCCAGGGTCGAAATTATGAATTTATGATCACTCTAGTATTATGAACATCTTCTAAACACAGCAGGGTATGTCTGGAGTTCACCTATCCTTCAATAACGAAGAGATACCAAAAAAAATAATGCTGGCGCTTCATAATTTAACATCCTGTTAAATGGCACTTGGTAATTTCCGATGCCTCCGTTAATGATGTGTTATCACAGCCCGTCACACAACTGAAGTAAGAGTCCATTTTTACAGACATGACTCATTTTGAAGGAAATGAATCACCTTTTTAATCGGGCCAAGGCGAAGAAACTGTTCGTAACAAGTTACTGTGTCGTAATGCCATCACTGCCAAGTGTTAACGATACGTGGCTAACGTTAGCTAGCTAGCTGGTTGACGTTAATCACCCACCAAACTCTGGTGTTAGCTAAATGTCTAACAGAGCAAAAATGTAAATCCTACATCCCACAACATTTAAAATTACCAACAGACTTACCGCTCTGTTCACCAAGAAAGACCAGTTTAAATTTTCTTAAAGGGTTTCCGAAGTCTCCGGCCGAAGACATGACTGAATCAAACCTTGACGTTACTTTTCGGGAGCTTCCTAGCTAGTTAGCTAATGCTAACTAACCAGTTGTTGTCAGTTATCAAATATCCAGAGGCAGCGAAAATGAACAGCCCCACTCGTGGCTGACTTGAGCAAATTTTGTGCTCAAAGCGTATTCCTTCAAAGTCCAAGTCAATATTAAGCACCGCACTAACTACTGCGGCTAAGTCAGCGTTACTCTTCTACTCTGTCAATTACACCCAACTAACGAGCCACCTCGGGCCGCTCTTCTTCAGAGACAACTTTATGGATAGATGTGTCTTGGCATGTTGATGTGCTGCCCTCTGCTGGTGGAGCAAAAAACCCACAAAACCCTTTGGCAGAGCAACGCACTGACACATTTGATTCAGTAGATTTTATTTTTATATTATTTCACAAAGTTGGAAGCATGAGGGAATTATGAGGGAAAAAAACTACCGCGCCAAGGACAGAGAAGAACAGAAGGAAAAGGCACGGTGTGTTTTTTTAAAGCCCACTAGAGGGGGCACTTTCATCACAGGTAAGATTTTACTACTAAGCAACTTTAATGGGAACCCCAATAATGTTTAAAAAATTAGACGGTGACTTTTACCGATGGTTAAATTACATGGAAAGATTTTTTTTAACATCCATCCATCCATTCATTCATTCGCTTATCCTGTTCAGGGTCGCGGGGTTGGGAGGTGGGAGGGGGGCTATCCCAGCTGTCTCAGGGCAAGAGGCAGGGTACACCCTGGACAGGTCGCCAGTCTGTCGCAGGGCTAACACAGAGACACAGACAACCATTCGCACTAACATTCACACCTATGGGCAATTTAGAGTTTCCAGTTAACCTATCCCCACTAACTGCATGTCTTTGGACTGTGGGAGGAAGCCGGAGTACCTGGAGAGAACCCACGCAAACACGGGGTCAGCACTTATGACGAAATCCCTCAGAAGCAGAAGATTAAGGAAGAAAACAGGCACTAATACATGAATATTTCTATTAAAAACAGTCCCCAGTAGTGGGTAAAATTTTCTTTAGAATTTCTTTCTTTGTTACTCAGAGTTTTTAGGTAAACTTTATTTCATTTTTTTTCCAATGTAGAATAAACGTTGTTTAAAGAAACTGTGTAACACTCCTATATAGCATTCGACAGTGTTAATCAGTCCTGTTGGTGCTGAAAGAATAGCATTCTTTTTGTTCAGCCTATTTTTAAACCTCACTGCAATGTGCACATGTTCAGCCTTATATTCGCTCTATTAATGCCAGGTTTTGCTGGCAACCATGTAGCATCAAGCCAACTGGCATTAAGAGTCCTTGTGAAGGAAATTAAATCACAGTTGAGGGTAGCAGTTTGTAGCTGTAAAAGTGGATGTCTGACTTGTTAGTTCTATTATGTCAGACACTTTTTAAAAAATGGTATCAGGCTGTGATGTTTACAGGGTCCTGATGTTTACAGGACCCTGTGTAGCTTTTATTGGATTACTCATGACCTTCAGCTCATCAGACAGCTGCTGTCCTGAAGGATGAAGCCCCGAGGCAACATACAAGGTGGTTTACTTACTCCACCCAAGGACAGATAAGATAAAATAAGATAAGACTTTATTGATCCCACAGCAAGGAAATTTGTGCGTTACCTCAGCTCAGGCACAGATAGCAGAAGAAAAATCAAAAAAATCAAAATAAAATACAAACAAATACAAGATAAGTAAAATAATACACTATACACAACGGTAGCATACACAGCATATGATTATGGATAGAGGGATGTATGAATGACTACCTGTCTACCTGTTTAATTCTGTTAGTGTTTTAATAAATTCTATAAATGATCCACTCTCATATACAGCATGTATGAACAGTACACCTCTGCTTTTTTACCTGCAGTCATTTAAATACCAAATCAAGATACTTATAATCTCCCACTGACTGATAACCACTTTTGGTCTCAATATTTCGTCATTACAGCATCCTTGTTTTTAGGGTAATTTAATTCTTACATAATTCCTATTAAAGATACATGTGCTGTGTAAGGGCATGTATTATTTGTGTGGACATATCCATCCTGATGAGATCAAAGATGAGCTCAAACAGAAAATAAATTAAAATGTCAGAACCCTACAGATGCAAGTGTTTTCTTCAACTATTAATTAACCGGAGGAAACTGACTTCACCCTACTGTTCACTAGCCTGGATTACATTTACATTTTAGGGGTTTTAAGTATAAAAGGCAATGCGTTATTAGTGTATGGGTACAGTATGTGAGGACATGCCTGCTTGAGCCAGCTGTTCTAAGTCACTGAAGAGAAGACACACCTGCGCCCCGCTCTCATTCATGTGCCATGAAGCTCTGAAGTCTCTTTGTAGAGCAGCTGACGGGCTGATGCCAGCCCTTCAGCTGCTCTGGTTGTGACCCACGCCTCATTAAACTTGAGCCATCAACTTGAGCCGGCTGCCTCTCCCCTCCCTCTTTTCTTTCTCCTTAACAGCACTCCTACGCCACATGTCCTTGGTCAGGGAAAGACCCCAAATCTCCCGCCCCTCCCACTGAAGATGCTGAATTAACAAATTCTCCATTGCTCCCGGTCTCCCTCACTCAGTCATTCTCCGTCTCTCACGCATAAGCATACAGAGGGATGCGGCACGTGTGTTTCCACGCGCACAGCAAGACGGATTGCGCTGTAGACCTCTGTAGAGGTTGTGCATTTTGAATGGGCTCACGTCACTGCCTTTTGCTCATTTTTGAAAGATCCATCAGCACCATGAATTTGAGGAGGTGCTATCAAATTTCCCCCGAAGCTCCTCAAAGTCACGCACCTTATTCTGCAAGAAATGAGCTGTCAGCTTGAAAAGCGTGTAATCCAAAATCAAAGGAGCATGACTAAAAGGAAGCATGGTGCAAAAGAATCGAAGCTGTCACCTCAAGCCATGACTTCATCCTGGTGCGCTGGTCTCATGTCAGGCCACCGCATCATTTACTTCTGCAAAACTTGACTCAGTCTTCTAGATGGAAAAACCTTGCTATGACTCCCATCTTGGGAAAAAAAAAGTCTTTATTTGTTTCTTCTTTTTTCTTCTCTTGTTCAGATAAAGAGAGTGTATAGGGGATGATTGTGCATTAGTGTATGAATCTGACTGTAATGGATGGAGACCATCACATTCTCACACCACCTTGATCTAATGTCAATGTCACACCAAAGTACAACACTGTGCTCATCTCTCCCGTGAGGGAGACTGAACGCAAGGGCTCTAATGGAGGAGAGACTGATGAGGAACAGAGAGAAGATGAAAAGGGGAAATCGGAAAAAAGGGGTATGAAGGTTAGGCCAGGGTAAAATAGGTGTGTTGTATTCCCCAATACAGTAAGATAGAGAAAGGGAGGTGATATGTGGGGGATGGGGTGGAGCAGAGCTACAATTCTCCTGTAATCCTCCTCCTGGAATCATGAGGTTAGATGATTAGGGGAGGGGGGGGGGACCAGGAAGAGAGCATTTAAAGTGAATGGAAACACCGTCAAGCTTCCAGACTGGAACAAAGGACTGCAATGAACACAGGGCAGGAGGCACAGTTAGATCACAGCTCCGTCTTTTCTGTGCAACATCAGGCAGGAACAGGCACAGCAGTACAGTGGGAGGCATTCTTGCAAGCATAACCGAAGCAGAGATCAGAGTAGCAATCCAAGCACATTTACAAGAGGAGGCAGAGAAGGAGGGAGGGCGAGAAGGAGGGATGAGAGAGAGCAGATCTATGAAAGGAGGAGGAGGGGTGTTGCATGCTCACACAGTGTGACAGAGATAGAGCGATGAACGAGGCTGAGACACACAGAGAGAGAGAGGGGAGAGCACAGAGCAGAGATGGGGACCGAACGCTGAGACAGAGGTAGTTGGAAGGACTCAGATCTGCAGAACAAACGTGAGGAAAAGGAGGAAGAGAGCGAAGGTGAAGGAGAGCAGGAGGGAGAGAGGCGGGAGGGAGGGGGGGTGCAAGATGATGGAGCCCAGAAATAGGTTTCTCAGGACAGCTTTTCATCCCTGCAAGACATGACTCTTGGTGTTGGACTGTGCTGAATTTAGCCAGGGGGACAACACAGGACAACACAGGACAGCAGGTCTGCAGCACATTGACTGGGTTCAGCCTTACTGGATGCAGCAAAGCAGCTGATTTATTACTGAGGGGCTGGGTGGCAGCGTGTTTGAGCGTGTGTCTCTGAGCGCGCACGTGTGTGTGCATGTGTGTGTATGCAGGTTTTTATGGGTCCTTGTAGCACTCAGAGCTGTGGGAGCGACCATTCCTCCAGTCATGAAATGACATTCAGCAGGCAGGAGCTTTGTGTGCTGGCGTGGATCTGCAGTCCTCAGTAGGAAGTGCGAGAGTGGGATTCAAAGCTGTCATCGAGTGCAAGTGTGTGTGTGTGTTTACAGTGCCGTTTGCTGAGGTGAGCCAAGGAGGATCAGCTGTATGTGTTGTGTGTGTGTGTTTAGGTTGGAGTAGCAAGGGTGCAGCAAAGGCAAAGCTTCTACACAATGCGAGGACGATTGCAGGGGAGCACCGATGGCAGTGAGTGCAGCTAAAGTACAAGGATTGCCCTGGGGGTAAGGTGGAGGACAAAGGCAGGGACAGAAGAAGGAGAGGGGAAGGAGAACAGAGGCAAGTGGAAAACAGAGGGTGATCATGGCTGTCATTCAGTGAGCTATAGCATATGCTGTAGCGCAGAGCGGAGTGGTGCGGCAGGGGGAGGACAAGCATCACTGCACAGGGGAGGGGGAGAAACTACGGGAGAGAGAAGGTGGGGGGAGTGGTGTGTGTGTGGCGGGGAGGCGATCAGCTCAGCACCTCTTCAGCACCTGGAAGAGGAGCAGAGCGGGACAGGCCCAGCAGAAGAGACTCATTCATTCACAGGCACAGAGATGAACTGATAAGCGGCCAGGTCAACGTGTAGAGGTCAAAGGGAGCCGAGGTGTGACGGGAGTGAGTGGGTGGTTTGACTGTACTCTCTGCTGGTCCTGAGAGCAAGGCGAAGGAGTTCCCTGGAGGAAAGGGGGGTCAGGTCCCCAAGCCCTGTTTCTTCTGACCGTTCTGACCCCTCTTCATCACCATGGGAGAGTGGACGATTTTGGAGAGGCTGCTGGAGGCGGCTGTCCAGCAGCACTCTACTATGATCGGAAGGTAAGACATGGATTTAAGTGGGAAGGTGGTGTTTTCTGGTTTTGTATCCGCGGTTTTATGTCAACTGATGAGCTGGGATTTTTTTCTTTCTTTCTTTTTTTT